CAGTAAAGCATTATTATTGAAACTTATCATTATAAATATATATCATGATTTATATTATAAATAAAAAGAAATAAATGTATTTATCATTAAATTGACATTTTCTTTTGCTCGTATTTAATCTTTTTCAACTTTTTCAAATAACTGTATAAATATCAAAATAAAGTCTCCATAGACCTTATAAATATGGACTGGCAATTGCTATAGTTTCTGCATAAGAAACAGTGTCCGCGGGAGGTTAGACAGAGAGACGAGACAGAGAGATACTTTTTGATACTTCTTTCTCTTAAGATGTCCGGAAATATGTATTGCGCATGAGTTCGAAGCATATGGCGGATTAATATAATAATATGATCGAAAACAATAAATGTTGATGAAGAGTAAAGAATGAAAGATTTCATAGTCAAACATATAAAATGCAATAAAAAAATATATATATATATATATATAAAGAAAAATGAAAAAAACATTAGAACTAAAACTTTTAGATTAATTTGTGGAAAGAATTTTAAAATAAACGATATGTAATTTCATATCGAAGTTTTTATTTTTTATGGTAATTTTGTAAAATAATAAAAAAAGAGTAAAATAAGAATTACAATATTTAATGAATCATGCATGGCATACTTGCTGCATACTTAAATTTTAGTTTTATATATTTCTAATGTTGTTTTATTTTATATACATGATATACAATACACTCGTTTTTTAAATAATGAAATTATAGAAGAATAATTTTCTTTTTAAAAATGCGAGTTTTTGGAAAAATACGATAGTTATAATTATTTTGAACAATAAAGAGTTTTGAGACTAATAATAAATGATTTTCTATAAATAGGCGATTCGTGTTGTTTATACTTATTGCACTTAAGCTTTTTGTTTTTTTTCCATTGCTCATAAATATATCTATTCTGTTTTAAATATTGAAAATTCTAAGCAACGCGAACCTAATGTTCTAATGCAGTCGGCAAGTAGACACTCGCGGACGCCCAATGCCTGTGGGCAATAGTCGAGCGCGCTGGAACTAGCATTAAGCGGCTAGGCGCAATAAAGTGAGGAGAGGAGATAGCAGGAACGTCTGTTCATTGAACGTGCTGTTCAAGAAGTAAAAAAATATTGTGTTGCACAAATTCAGACCCAGAATTAGCATAAATTAATAACTACCTATATTTTAAATAAACAATTTTTACAATAATATTAAATAAACAACTCTTATAATATTTAATTAGTATTTGATTCAGTTTTCCGATATTATGTATGATATATCAGGTGTTATCATTTTGGCATTTAAACGAATTATATAAAATTCAAATGTGAATCTGTTAACTATTCGCGTAATCGCGATTTATTTAATTTCATAATAGAAAATAATTGTTCACATAAATAAATATGTAGAACCGAACATACTTATTATTTTTGCAGCACAAGCATGTAGTCGAGGAAAACGTTCTTGAGATATATATGAATAAAATTGTCAGTCATTGTATAAAAATGATTTTTAAGAGCAGTGTCACATTTTAAATCTATTAATTCTAATTGTATATCTGGGAACAATATTAATATCAACAGTAAAAGGTGTCATAAAAATAAATAAATCTTCTTCTAAAACATGCATTTCCCTAAACCAATAATCGAATTCAGTAATAATTGAAGTGAATTTATATATTTTTCATATTTTATTTTTCATATTGCTTATCTTGAATGTGCATGGCAACAGATAATAAATTTGAAAAATGCAATAATTGTCAAGATTGAAATTGATTGATCCATAAATTAAGTTTCATTTGGAAATGTATCCCAAGGAACTTTATCCCAAGGTACTAAAAATATTAGTAATAAATATTATTAGTTAGACCCTCCTGAGATGTGCACAACAGGCAGGCACTCGCGGGCGCTCGCGGGCGGCCGTGCCCAATTTCAGCGTTTTGCCGATCTCTGTTCTAATGTAATAAAATCTGTTAAAACAGTGAGTAATAGAATATAAATTTTTTTTAATTTCAAATGAAATAATTAAATAACTTTTTTTCTAAGAATTATTATATATTAAGAATATGATAATTGAATTGAATTGAATTTATAATTTAAAGCTCTCAAAATTTATAAAATTTATTTATTTATTTGTAAAATAAAAAAATTGCACAAATGCTTCTACAATTATTAAAGTATACTTAATATAAGTTATTTTACAATAAGTCCTACTCCATTATTACTTACGAATGAAAAAAAACACTATTTTCTGCAGAATAACTCACTCTGCAAATAACACACTTTCGAACTATTATTTCTTTTTAAAAATATAATGTGATATTCCTATCGATATTCTGTAAATACGATACACTCTGTAAATAACGTACAAATAACCTCAAACTTTTCTTTAACTTGCATAAGTATACACCAATAAGAATGCATTAATGTATAATATATGTCAAGCATGCGCAAAACGTATTTCCGAACACTTTTAGAAAAAGAGAGACGTTTCTCTTTCCAACCTCCCGCGGACATAATATATGTATTACCAGTCCATATAAGGTCTATGTCTCTACCACAATATCTATATTAAGTTAGATTGCTACATGCCATTATCGAAATAGCGTGGCTTGCCGACAAGATTTCCGGTGAATGCGAGAAAATGGCCGCTGCCGCCACATATTTAAAATAGTTATTGCGGATGATATTCAACAAAGTTTTGTAATACTTATTGTTTT